GTAGACTTCACCTCCGCAATATCTCCAACCTCCGCAACATCTCCAACCTCCACAACATCTCCAAGATACGACCGTTCCTAACCCACGGAAACCACTAAGCAACTTATTCACTCCCTTGTTATATCTCATCCTTGACTATTGTACCTCTCTCCTCATTGGCCGACCTCATCGCAGGCTATCCCCTCTTTAATCTATCAGGAATGCTGCTGCCAGATTCATCCACCTTACTAACCGTTCTGTATCTGCCACCCCTCTCTGCCAATCCCTTCACTGGCCTCCATTCAGTGTCCTCCACCCCTCTCTGCCAATCCCTCCACTGGCCTCCACTCAGTGTCCTCCACCCCTCTCTGCCAATCCCACCACTGGCCTCCACTCAGTGTCCTCCACCCCTCTCTGCCAATCCCTCCACTGGCCTCCATTCAGTATCCTCCACCCCTCTCTGCCAATCCCTCCACTGGCCTCCATTCAGTGTCCTCCACCCCTCTCTGCCAATCCTTCCACTGGCTTCCCATTGCCCAATGGATAAAATTCAAAACACTAACAATAACGTATAAAGCCATTTATAACTCCGCCCTAAATTACATCACCGATCTTGTCTCCAAATATCACCCAAACCGTATTCTCCGCTCCTCGCAAGACCTCCTACTCTCTAGCTCCCTTGTCTCCTCCTCCCATGCTCGTCTCCAGGACTTCTCTAGAGCTTCCCCCATCCTCCGGAACTCTCTACTTCAATTTATCAGACTACCGCCTACTCTGCTCACTTTTAGGCGATCTCTGAAAAAATATTTCTTCAGGGAAGCCTATCCTGCCCTCAGCTAATACTGGAATCTTCTACTCTTCCAACCAGTCCATCCCCCACAGTTACTACCTTTTGTACCACTAGCCCCTCCCTCCTAGATTGTAAGCTCCAAGGATAAGGGCCCTCAAATCCCTCTTGTATTGAACTGTATTGTTACTTTATTGTCTCCCGTTATATTGTAAAGCGCTGAGCAAACTGTTGGTGCCATAAATCCTGTATAATAATAATAATGCTCAATTGGTACTACGGGGCCCAAAGTGTGCCAAGAAAATCTCCCCCCACACCATGACACCACCACCACCACCAGCCTGAACCATTGATACAAGGCAGGATGGATCCACCACACCATGACACCACCACCACCAGCCTGAACCGTTGATACAAGGCAGGATGGATCCCCCACACCATGACACCACCAGCCTGAACCATTGATACAAGACAGGATGGATCCCCCACACCATGACACCACCAGCCTGAACCATTGATACAAGGCAGGATGGATCCACCACACCATGACACCACCACCAGCCTGAACCGTTGATACAAGGCAGGATGGATCCCCCACACCATGACACCACCAGCCTGAACCGTTGATACAAGGCAGGATGGATCCCCCACACCATGACACCACCAGCCTGAACCATTGATACAAGGCAGGATGGATCCCCCACACCATGACACCACCGCCACCAGCCTGAACCATGGATACAAGGCAGGATGGATCCACCACACCATGACACCACCGCCACCAGCCTGAACCATGGATACAAGGCAGGATGGATCCATGCTTTCATGTTGTTAATGCCAAATTCTGACCCTATGTTGCAGCTGAACTCCAGACTCGTCAGACCCGGCAACGTTTTCCCAATCTTCTATCGTCCAATTTTGGTGAGCCTGTGTGAATTGCAGCCTCCATTTTATGTTCTTAGCTGACAGGAGTGGCACCCGGTGTGGTCTTCTGCTGCTGTAGCCCATCTGCTTCAAGGTTGGATGCGTTGTGCATTCAGAGATTATATTCTTGGTTGTAACGAGTGGTTATTGGAGTTCCTGTTGCCTTTCTATCATCTGGAACCAGTCTGCCCATTCTCCTCTGACCTCTGACATCAACAAGGCATTTTCGTCCCCACAACTGCCACTCACTGGATATTTTCTCTTTTTCGGACCATTCTCTGTAAACCCTAGAGATGGCTGTGCGGGAAAATCCCAGTAGATCAGCAGTTTTTTAAATACTCAGACCAGCCCGTCTGGCACCAACAACCATGTCACATTCAAAGTCACTTAAATCCCCTTTCTTCCCCATTCTGATACTCGGTTTGAGCTTCAACAAGTTGTCTTCACCACGTCTAGATGCCTAAATGCATTGAGTTGCTGCCGTGTGATTGGCTGATTAGCAATTTGGATTACCAAACAATTGAACAGGTGGACCTAATAAAGTGGCCGGTGAGTGTATGTCAAAACAGAGGTGACATCCTGAGCAGCTTTATGGACAAAACTAGTGAAATTGATAGAAATAGCAGAAGACCAATACAGACTTCTAATCAATACAAGAAGTGGTCATGTGTGTCCTTTCTGATTGATTCGGATGTAACCTGATCACATTCTTTGTAAAGTCCAGGAGCATAAATTGTGTGGCTGAGCATACTACTCTTCCTGCGACAACCCAAAACCCACCAAACATCCCTCACCAGCCACCAACCTGCTCCTCTTCCGTGTTGATGACCACCAGATGGGAATTTTTGTCCTCGCAGAGCTTCTTCGATGCACTCCATGAATTCCCAACCAAAGGGTGGAAGTAACAGCTGGATTCGAAGGTGCTCCATCCCGATGGACAGGTGACGTCACTTGACCCTACAGGTGGGAAAGGACAATATCAGCCCAATAGAAGGAGTGGCCAGCGAGAGGTGGTGAGGTGGAAACATCAGGGAATCAAGAAAAAAAACTAATGTCCAAGGCTATGACAATAATTTTTCACATCCTGAAGATCTCTAACCGAACCTTTCTTCTGTCAAAATATGGAAGGGTTAGACCCTCGGTGTGAATTTTATTGCTGTCTGTATCCTCGCTGGGGAGATTTATCCCTCTATTTATCCTGGTGTCACTGGACAGGAAGTGATGGGAAATATGACATTTCAGTCTTCACCAGAACAGGAATATGGAAAGCTTCCAATTGGGGAATCTGTTCTGGTGACAACTGTCTAAGCTGGGATCTATCGTCCCTCTGGAGATGACTCCTCCTACTTCATCTGGTGTCTGACATGGGTTCTAACCATTCCTTAGATGACTCCTACTACTTGGGTTCTAACCATTCCCTAGACAATTCCTTCTACTTGGGTTCTTACCATTCCTTAGATGACTCCTACTACTTGGTTCTAACCATTCCCTAGACAACTCCTTCTACTTGGTTCTAACCATTCCTTAGATGACTCCTACTACTTGGTTCTAACCATTCCCTAGACAACTCCTTCTACTTGGGTTCTTACCATTCCCTAGATGACTCCTTCTACTTGGTTCTAACCATTCCCTAGACAACTCCTTCTACTTGGTTCTAACCATTCCCTAGACAACTCCTTCTACTTGGGTTCTAACCATTCCCTAGACAACTCCTTCTACTGGGGCTCTAACCATTCCTTAGATGACTCCTTCTACTTGGTTCTAACCATTCCCTAGACAACTCCTTCTACTTGGGCTCTAACCATTCCCTAGATGACTCCTTCTACTTGGTTCTAACCATTCCCTGGACAACTCCTCCTACTTGGTTCTAACCATTCCCTAGATGACTCCTTCTACTTGGTTCTAACCATTCCCTAGATGACTCCTTCTACTTGGTTCTAACCATTCCCTGGACAACTCCTCCTACTTGGTTCTAACCATTCCCTAGATGACTCCTTCTACTTGGTTCTAACCATTCCCTAGATGACTCCTTCTACTTGGTTCTAACTATTCCCTAGATGACTCCATCTACTTGGGCTCTAACCATTCCCTAGATGACTCCTTCTATTTGGTTCTTACCATTCCCTAGACAACTCCTTCTACTTGGGCTCTAACCATTCCCTAGATGACTCCTACTTGGGTTCTAACCATTCCCTGGACAACCCCTTCTACTTGGTTCTAACCATTCCCTAGATGACTCCTTCTAATTGGTTCTAACCATTCCCTAGATGACTCCTTCTACTTGGTTCTAACCATTCCCTAGATGACTCCTTCTAATTGGTTCTAACCATTCCCTAGATGACTCCTTCTACTTGGTTCTAACCATTCCCTAGATGACTCCTACTTAAGTTCTAATTATTTCCTAGACAATTACTTCTACTTGAGTCCTAACCACTTCCTGGACATTTGCTTCTACTTGAGTCCTAACCACTTCCTGGACATTTGCTTCTACTTGGTTCTAACCATCCCGGAGTCTTTATGGCCTCTACGCTCACACCATATATGGTCTCCTTAGTTTGGATCTTTTTATGACTCAGAAATCTGTTTCATTGAGTACTCACCATTCACCTGCAGCTTCTTCACCTGATAGGAGAGTCTCTGGATGGCATTGAGGGCCCTATTCAAAGTAATTCCTGTAATAGGAAGAAAATAATGGCTGAAAATATTCTCCGACACTCAACTCCAACATCTACCCATCAATGACACCCAACACCACTCTATCACTGTACCCTTATTACTTCTCATTCACCAACATTCCACATCACATGACACCAAAACTCCCCATCACATGACCCCAATGCCCCACATTGCATGACACAAACACTGCATAACACATGACACCAACACTCCTCACATCACGACATCAACATTCCAGATCACTTGACAACAATACTCCAAATCACATGACACCAACACTCAACATCACATGACACCATCACCCTACATCCCATGACACCAACACCCTGCACTACATGACATCAACACTCCACATTCCACAACAGCAACACTTCATATCACATGACACCAACATCCTACATCATTTCACACCAACATTCCACATCACATAATACCAACACATCACATCATATGACCTCAATGCCTCACATCACATGACACCAACACTCCACAGCCTATGACAGCAACACTCCACATACATAAACCAACAAGTCATGTCACATGACACCAACACTTTTCAACACCTGATACCAACACTTCATGACACCAACACTTCACAAAACATGAAACCAACACTCCACAACTGATGACACCAACAAAACATTTCACATTACACCAATATATCACAACATGTGACACCAGCCCTCCATATTTTATCCCTATTCTAATCCAATGTCATGCATATTATTCATAAACACATGACACCATCCATTCATTCTATTCTCAGACATTTACCCAGCACCATGTTCATCGACAATAACCATCAAAAGATGTTCCAGAGTTCATCAGCTGCATACATTTCTACCTTCACTAACATAAAGCATCATAATGAAATCAGAGCCTCATTACTAGTCAGCCAGGTACTCTCATTAGATAGGGGACCAGCGGGTGAGCAGGGCTATGGCCTATGTTGAGATCTCTAAAGCAAAGTGAAAGAAATCTCAGAGGGG